AAGTTCCTCATTGTTGGAGCTATTCTTGCAAATCTCTTCCATACTCACGCCAACGCCCTCACATCCTTCCTAAATTGTGGTAACCACAACTGGATGCAATACTCCAGGTGAGGCCAAACTGATGTCATGTACAAATTCATCATAGCTTCATTGCTCTTGTACTCCATGCCCTTGTTATTAAGGCCTGGTACACTGATTGCTTTATTAATCATGCACTCAACATTTCCTGCCACTGCTGATGACATATACAAGTATACACCCAGGTCCCTCTGCTCCCAGTTACAGTTATACTCTTTATTTTGTTTTGTCTCTCCATGTTTCATCAATTAAGATATCAATGGACTGGTTAGAAGGGCAGACAAGTGTCAAATGGAATTCAACCTGATGAAGGGTAAGGCGATGTATTTTGGGGATATCAAACTGATTAAAGAAATGTGCAATACATGGTAGAATACTATAAATTGTAGATGAAGTGAGGGGCCCTGGAATGATTGTCCACAAATCCCTAAAGTTAACAGGAAAGGTTGACTAGGAGGTTAAGAAGCAATGCAGAAGCAGAATTTAAGAGCAGGTTGATGCTGGAACTATATAAAGCATTAGTTAGGCTATAACTTGAGTGCTATGTGCAGTTCTGGGCACTCATTACAGAAAGGATGTAATTGCACAAGAAAGCGTATAGATATAACTTGATGGGTTTTTTGAAGAAGTAACGGAGAGGATTGATGAAGGCAAAGAGATGGACATGATCTATACGAACTTCAGTAAGGTTTTCAATAAGGTTCTGCATGGCAGACTGGTTAATAAGATTACATCACATGGAATACAGGGAGAACTAGTCACTTGGATACAGAACTAGCTTGAAGTTGGGAGACAAAGAATAGTGATGGAGGGTTGCTTTACAGACTGGAGGCCTGTGACCAGTGGTGTGCCACAAGGTTGGTGCTGGGACCACTGCTTTTTGTCATTCATATAAATGATTTTGAATGTGAACATAGGAGGCATGGTTAGTAAGTTTGCAGATGAAACCAAAATTGGTGGTGTAGTGGACAGTGAAGAAGGTTACCTCAAAGTACAATGGGATCTTGATCAAATGGGCCAATGGGCTGAGGAGTGGCAGATGGAGTTTAAATAAATGTGAGGTGCTGCATTTTGGAAAGGCAAATCAGGGCAGCGCTTATACACTTAATGATAAGGCCCAGGGGTGTGTTGCTGAACAAAGAGACCTTGGAATGCAGGTTCATACTTCCTTGAAAGTGGAGTTGCAGTTAGATAGGATAGTGAAGAAGGCATTTGGTATGCTTGCCTTTATTAGTCAGTGGATTGAGTATAGGAGTTGGGAGGTCATGTTGCAGCTATACAGGACATTGGCTAGCCCACTATTGGAATACTGCATGCAATTCTGGTCTCCCTGCTATGGGAAGGAAGTTGTGAAACTTGGAAGGGTTCAGAAAAGATTTACAAGGATGTTGCCAGAGTAGAGGGCTTGAGCTATAGAGAGAGTCTGAATAGGCTTGTACTATTTTCCCTGGAGTTTCGGAGGCTGAGAGGTGACCTTATAGAAGTTTACAAAATCACAAGGGGTATGAATGGGGTGAATAGACAAGGTCTTTTTCCTAGGGTAGAGGAGTTCAAAGCTAGGGGGCATAGGTTTATGGTGAGAGGGGAAAGATTTAAAAGGGATCTAAGGGGCAACTTTTACACGCAGAGGGTGGTGCTTATATGGAGTGAGCAGCCAGAGGACGTGGTGGAGGCTAGTACAATTGCAACATTTAAAAGGCATCTGGATGGGTACTTGATTAGGAAGGGTTTAGAGTGATATGGACCAAATGCTGGCAAATGGGACCAGATTAACTTAGGGTATCTGGTTGGCATGATGAGTTGGACCGAAGTGTCTGTTTCCATGCTGTACATCTCTATGAGCCTATGACTCAGTGAGATTTGTGTGGATGTTACCAGGACTGAAAATGTTAGTTATAAGGAAAGATTATATAGGCTGAGGTTGTTCTCCTTGCAATAGAGGAAGCTGAAGGGAGATTTAATTGAGACGTACAAAATTGTCAGGGACCTGAGTAAAGACTTATGGAAAGGACTTATTTACGTCAGTAGAGCTGTCAGTAATGAGGGAGCACAGGTTTAAAGTGATTGGTGGAAAAATTAGAAGGCAGATTAGGAATACATTTTTTCACTCACAGGATGGAGACTGCCTGAAATTGTAGTAGAGATAGAAGGACTGGACTAATTTCAAAGATGTCTGGGATAACCATTATGAGCACTGGAACTGCAGAGCTATGAACTAAATGCAGGAAAGTGAGTTTACAGCAGGCTGCTCGATTTTTGACTGGCACAGACACAATGGGCCAAATAACTTTTATTTTCTTTCCTATAAATATTCTATAAATGTTCCTACCAAAATAAATCACCTCATGCTACATTGGTGAACATTGAGTTTTATTGTTTTTTTTTAACTGTTTTCAACTTTTCTAAAGTTTTATATTCTTCAATTTGTGTCAAATAATTCATAGTGTGATACATTTTATGAAGTCTTTCTTGAACAGTAATTTCCACTGTGAAATCTTTAGAAATTATATCTGTAACTGTTACTTCAAAACTAAGTCAATCTGTAGTCATTTTCTGTGATGGAAATGGAGCAAATACCATCTAAACCTTTTTTCAGTCTAGATTAGAACTTATTTCATCACTCAGATATTTCAACATTATAAATTTGTTACTTTTAGAGACTTTGCCTAAATCCTGGACCCTCCACAGAAGTGTGTATCATCCAGAAAATTGAGGATCCAATGTCACAAATTTTTATTAATTTATCGTTAGTTTCCCTGAATCAAATTTCCCTCACTGCCAGCCTGCTAAATTAATGGAGGGTGTTCAAGAAGCCAGAGTCAGAGGAAGATAGTGTGCTGGAGCATTGGAAGAGTACATAAAAGGGATTTACAGATGAATATTAAATTGAAAGCATTGATGGATCCCAAATCTTCAGCATATGGTTGACAATTTATAGCAATTTATATACATGCTATGTGTACAGATGATCATATGAGTGTAACTGTGATCTAATCAGTAATCAATGGCTGAAACAGTTTTATGCCAGATGATAAGGAAACCTAAGGCGGTAAAGAAGGCATTTAGCAAGTCTACCTTCATTGCACAGACCACTATGTATAGGAGTTGGGATATTATGTTGAGGTTGAACGGGATGTTGGTTCGGCCACTTTTGGAGTGCTCTGTACAGTTCTGGTTGCCCTGCTTAGGAAGGTTATTATTAATTTGCAACATTTAAAATGGACAGGCACATGAATAGGAAATGTTTGAAGGTTTGTGGACCAAATGCAGGCAAATGAGACTTTTTTTTAATTTGGGAAAACTAGACAGCATAGACGAGTTGGACCAAAGGGTCTGTTTCCATTCTTTATGATTTTGTGCTGTCCAATAATGTTGACTATACGGTCCTCCATCCTTTATACTTATGCCCAGGATGTTGTCAGAATGCCAATGCTACTCTCTTTCCCCAATGCCGAATGTCCGAACCGAATAAAATCCAAAGTAGCATTAAGGAAAATTGAATGTTTGAAATACAGAATAAAGTTGGAAAATGTACGTAGGTCCGTCAGGTAAAATAATCTTTTCTCGTTTGAAATTTTCTGCGAATTTCCTGTATTCTCTGGTTTTAATTTTGAAGTCCAGTAATTTCACTTCCTCAAAAGGTACAGAAATGGGAAAAATACAGTACTTCTACTTTAATTGTTCTGGATGTGCAACTAAATAACTACGAAATTTTATATATAAACATAGTGTGTACTTCATACCGATTTTAGTGAATAGTATTTCTATCTTTATTGATCAGCTTTGATGTTTAACACGTTTTCACTTCGGAGCAGGTAGGTAGGTAAAACTTCGTAAAACTGTCCGTTTCACCTTCGGCACAGCCTGCATTTGAAGATTTAAAATGCAAAACACAGTCCTAAAAACGTTATGAAATAACAGTGTAAATTAAATGATTTTTTTAAAAAATTGCCATTTATTGCAATATTGCTTCATATGGGGCCCTGCTGCTCTACCGTGGAAGCAGCACCATTGCGCAATTTCAGGGACGTCATTTAAAAGGGGACTTTTTGCCGAGAATGTTTTCCAGTTCCTCAGGAAGGTTCTGAGACCGACTGCGGAGGCGGGCCAGACATTATGTGATGGATTGTATTTTGTGTGAGTGCTTATGAAAAAAGCCCTTTGGATAAATACTGATGTCAGCTGCAAATTTTAACTATTGTACATATATACTGAATTGAATGACTCTTTAAACCTGATTGAATGAAGTGGTTTTATTGTGTTGATTTTGTCTTTTTCTAGATATAGACTTTTAAAACTAGATATATTTTCTAATCGTATTTCGATTAAATACGTGACCATTTCTAAACTTATTTTCAAAAATGCTTATATCCAATGGTTTTGCTACAAATACTGCAAGTATCAAACTTCCTGGGGGAGGGATTTAAGCCATATTATGAAAGCTGATCTTGTTCACGGTCATTTCGAATTTTAAGTGTTAATATACCATTTTCATCCTTTATGTCTACAATAGCCTGTATTTTTTAATTGCATGTAAATACTTAGACGTATACAGGGAGGATATGCTCCTATTACAATATTTTTAAAAACAAACTGTACTCTTAATTATACGGCGTTGCTGAGCCTGGGGTTATGAATGATCTCTTTAGATTTGAGATCAATCAAAAAGCCAGACATTACCATTAGTGCAATATGTTGCATTCAATGTGCGGGTCTGTACCGCTCCTTTTCATACAATCAAATTATACCTGGCACATAGCGTTCTGTTCGGCAGACCGGACTGACGATGACGGATGGGTGGAAGCACGGCCTGATGATCGACAGGGTGGGAGCGAATCGCAATGGTGGGGGCGGGACGTGAAGCGTGATTGACGGAGAGATGCGGCCTGTTGAGTGGTCCGGGCGGCGGCGGGCAGGGCTAGGGCTGAGTCTCGCGGAGCTCTGGCCAGCGTGCGTCACAAGAGCTGGAAGAGTCAGGCCGGTTGCGCGTGATCGAAGGGCGATAGGTAGCGACGATGGAGATCGAGCGGCCAGTGGCGCAGCAGCAGGTACAAATACCAGCCAGTATCTAGTAATCTCTCAGCGACAGCTTCAGTATAGACAGCAGGGAAACGTTTCGGAGCAAATTGGCCGGGGGCAAACATGTAGCAAAGGGAAGCAAACTAGTTAAACTTTAAAGATAGTTCGCTCTGAACGTGTTACACGAACGTTTTCAATGTGGCGGTGGATCGTTTACGTAAAAATGAACAGGTTCTCGTGGTTAAAGTAAATTGGGTGACTAGTTTTAAGATCGAGGTCATTTGTCTCTCTTTTCCTTCCCCTCACCAATTTTCATCTTTGGATTGGATTGGATTTCCTCACCCATCTACTCCCACGACATACTTTCGAAGCCTCTGACGATATGAAGCGCAACGTTGAGACCTGGGCGTTATTTCAAAATCTGCGCCAAACTTATTGCACAGTGCCAAGTCATTTTTATTGTCCTGAAAAGTGTCTGAAAAAGATTGGCCGCAAGGACATTTGTCTGTATCGTGCTGGTCCCCATGACGGTAACTTTGCGTGGGCCAGTGCAGCGTTTCCCAGTCTTGTGATTTTTCTGAAGAGCTTTCGAGGTTGGTCGTCGTCTGACCCCTTGAGGTTTCCAGCTGATACCAGGGTGTGATCTTGTCCCCACCCACAAGCCTTTACAGTAACTGGATGGCAGGTGAAAGACAAGCTGGTCCGACAGGGTTTGGTTCTGTTTATCGAACGCTCAGCAAACATACTGATTAAAAATAAAATCTACAGTTTCTTCTTTAAACTTTAAACTATTTCCCTTCCTCTCCGTAACCTGTCAAACCGATTGTTCCTCCTTTATTTGTCCTAACATTTCAATTCGGTGTGTTGTGTCACGTGAGTTACATTCGTGTTTGGCTAGATTCCTGACCTTTAGTACGAGTTGCAGCGATTGTAGGACAACATTTTTTTTTTCTGGTAGTAAATGATTGATATAGATGGCTTGACTGCTTTGCGTGATGTTGTGAAATATTTACTGTACGGTGAAGGTCATTAGCCACAGATAGAATCTATAAATGGTTGCAGCACAAGAAGCCGTTCCATCCGTTTTGTTCCGGCTGGATCTACAGAGTTCAGATCAAATTCTGATCAAATTAATTACAATCAACTTCCTGGCTGTGTATTGTACAAAGTAAAGGATGAAAATGGAGGTGAACAATTTTTAATAAAAAAAAAGTTTTTAAAGAACAATGGAGGCCTGCCAAGGAAATATTCTAATTTGTCTATTTCTCCATCACTGAAATCTGCAACCCTTGGGAAGGTTCACAGCGGTGTGAAGTTGTTGTGTCTAGGTACCTTTGCTAAGTTTTTACTCAAAATCCAATTGTCTTTAGTGTAGGCATTGTTTAATTACTTTAACTGCTAATTTACATGTTTAAACATTCCATTTCCTTCCTTTCTAATCGGGTATTGTTTTGATCCAATGCTGTACTCTGGACACTAAGAATATTACAAAAAGAAAACTGTTTACTTGTCTTTTTCTTTTAAAAATACCGTATAATATGCCTAGGTGAGTCAAAAATTCCTTTGCCTGTCAATCATTGACAATTGACATTTCTACAGCACTCTTTAGGGTGAAATATCTCTGGGTAATTCATAGGAGTGTTATCAAACAAAATTAAACCATGAGATATTCAGTCATATGACTGATAGCCTGCTCAAAGATGTAGATTTCAAGTTGTGTTTTAAAGAAGCCAAGAGAGGTTTGTGAAATAAGTGTTGCTTCAAGTGTGCAGAAGTCCATTTTGAATGGATTTGTGCAGTGCACTAGTTTTTCTTGGTCATGCTGGCTGCCAGCTACGTAACTACAGTTCATGGCTGGAGTCCAGTTGTTAGGCAATGAATAGCCAATAGCAAGTTTAATTTGAAATGGAGAGAAGGATGGAGGTAAATCTTGATCTGTTGATTTGAGTACCCATTTGTATTTGTTACTCGTGGATTAAAGTATCTATTCGTGTTCCTTAATTTTGTATATCAGTTTGCAAAATTGCAGTAACTTCTTTTTCTGGCTGAGAAACCACAATCTTAAAAGCACATACGTGGTCACTCATTAGTTTTTCCTACGAAAGTAAGAATCTGCATCTGAATGAACCTGTGCATACCTTTTCATGACTCCACAAGCCAATCTCATTTTTGAACTACCGGGAGGACGTTAGATGGAGCTGCCTGAAAGCTGATGCAAATGAATATCTGGTTTGATCAGCACTGTAAGACTGTTCCCATATCTATGAATTCTGGAGTTCCCAAGGATTTATCCTTGAAACTCAGCTTTTTTCTCATGGAGATGCTGCTGCTTGCTGACATCAGCTGTAGACGTATTCCAAATATATCATGAAACCTGGCTTTACCTTGCCACCAACACTCTCCACTTACTCACTATCTTTTTAGTATTGTCAGATAATTTGTCTAACATGCTCACAATTAAAATTTGGGAAGAACAAAGCATTTGAAGCTAGCTACCAATTTCATTCTGCTACCTGACAGCTATCTCTGTCTGAATCAGAATTTGCCACTTTGGTGTTCTACTTGACCCTGATGTGGATTTCCAATCTCACGTACTTTCCATCACACAGACCACCTGCATATGATGTCCCACTGAGTCAGACTATCTGCTGCTGAAACCTTAACCCTCTTATTTTCAGGCTTGACTATTTGAGTTCTCTCCACCTGATGAGCACTGAACTAAAAGAGACATTAGAAGTGGTGAATAAATGTTTGGTCAAAAAGCTAGTTTTAAGGAATGCCTTAAAGGAGAAAGGAAAGGTTTGAAGAGGGAACTGGAGCATAGTGACAATACAGTTAATGGGTCACTTCCCATTTTACACAGCCAGTGGTGGGACAAGACAGAAGAGGCCCAGCTGAGAGCAATGCTATGTTTAGGGAGCTGAAGGACTTGGCAATACTATGATAGAGACAAGTCAAAATACTTTTAAGCACAAGGACTACTTGAAATTTGAACAGTGCAGGACTGTGATCCAATATAGATAAATGAACCTGGAGTAAATGAGCAGACGTTGGATAGAAATAAACTGTAGAGTTTTTGGTTGAACTGACATTTGTGGGGAATAGGAGGTTGATCAGAGAGCTCTGGAATTATCAGATGTGACTAAGACATAAACAAGAAGTTCATAATAAGTATGAAGCTAAGTTAGGCTGTAGTTACTTGTTTGAGTATTCTATGCAGTTTTGGTACCCCATTACATGTAACTCAATTTATGGAGAGATTAGAGCCCAGAAGCACCAGGTAGAAGTCAGTTACATCTATGGGAAACTGTACTTGAGGCTAGAGTTGAGGTGTTGAGACAGGTTCTATTTCATATTTCCTCCCAACTTTCTAGTCTGGTTTTTAAATAATCAAGGATTCTGATGGGGGTGACGTTTTGCAGAGGGAAACCTTCTATTTGTGGAAACTACTTGGATCAATATTTGGAACTTCAAGTGTGATGAGAGGGTCAGAGAAATTGCTGTGCAGAAATGTTGAAAATTGTGCACTTTGTCACAGGGGATGGTTGATGTATCTTTGCCTTTTTAATGACATTGAATATCCAATTAAAGCAGATGAAGACAAACTAGTTTTGTCTTGCTCTAGTGATATCAGCAAGGAGTAGATGGGCTGAATGTCCCATTTCTGTGTGGTAAGCTTCTGTTAATGAGCACACATTGCCAATTAAGTGCTTCTGACATAATCATTGCCTATGAAAGTGCTTTGGAATCTCCTGGGATGCATCCTAGGTCACAATAATGTAAGTGTGTGAACTATGGCTACAGTGTTCTGATCCTGCTTAGAAATGGAAGCTGTGCAGAAGGCTGCAAATGTTACAACCTTTTCCAAAAGGGTGGGATCAGGGATAAGCAGACCAATCAGTCCTACATCAATTGTGGGGAAAATCTGAGATTAATTCAGGACAGAATTGACACTTTGAAAAAATATGGGTTAAACAATGAAAACCAGCATTTGCTAAATTTAAATCTTTCCTCAAAGAACTCAAGTTATTTAAGAAACAGAGGGCAGATGAAGGTGGTGTGAGACGTGTATGTACCTGGACCTATGGACTGCTTCTGTAGTGGTTACAGATTATAATAGACTCATTAGTTGTTAACTTAGTATTTTCTAGAATCTAGCAAACTAGTGGAGTGGAAAAAAACAAGTGTAACACACTTGTAAAGAATGGAGAAAGACTGAATATAGATGTTGACCTATGGTTTTCTGTCACTGGGGAAAATGAAATCAATTTTTAGAGATTGTGGGACATTTAAAAATTCATAATACAATTAGATGGACCTGAGGGTTAATGTACCCAAGTCTTTTTGAAGGTGATAGAATGAATTGAGAAGACTGATGCTTTTTTAAGAAAATAACAGGTGTAATCTTGTCATTAAATAGAGGCTTGGAGCACAACAAGGAGGTTATGCAAAATCTTTATCAACCCTGGTGAGGGCAGAGTATTTTAGCCAATTCTGGATGTCACATTTTCTTTTGAAGGATGTCAAGACCTCGGAGAGTGGTGATGAGATTTAATGGAATTTGTCCATAAGATTGTTCCAGGAATTCTCCTTTCCAGAAGGTTAAGGGGAGATTTGGAAGTGTACAAAACATCTGAAGTATTTTATTACAGTAAATGAAAATCTGCTTCCAGTAGTAATAGGCTTGATAAACAGAATACACCAGTTTGAGATAATTGACAAATGAAACGTACAGAAACATTTTTACACAGTTTGTTGTGAACTGGAATACACTGCCTGAAGCATTGGCGAAATCGGTGTCTAATACCATTTTGTAAAAGAATTGAATAGGTGCTTAATGGGAGGGAAAATACTAGGCTATGGAGAAAGAGCAGGGGAGTGAACATGAAAAGTGGTATAATACAATTGGCTTCTTGTGTCATACTTTACTTCAGTCATACTGAAAGCACTGTTCTTTGTTAGAAATACTACTGAGTAACAAATAGGGTAAAATAAATAGTTGTTAGTAAAAGTAAGGATTTGGGTATTG